TCAGAACTAGGAGACTTAATTTCTATTCCTACTTTTGACACGGAATAGTAGAAGTATAGATAAGTGAGAGTAATTCTTGGATTTATGTAATTACCAGTAATATTGGTTCACTGATTTCAAGGATTCCTTCCGTATGTGCATGTACAGAGCATTTCATCTGACACTTACTTAGAGGAGAAAGCCTTCTGTTATGCCAATAGTAATAGCTAAAATCTTTACAAAATTACTCTTAAAAAGAAAATTTTATTGTAAATTTTTACAATTACTTTTTCCTGACCTCTATCATCTACTGATGATTCTGCGTTAGTGATTTTGGCGCCAGGAAGAGAGATGTCACCCACCTGTCCTGGGTAAATGAAGGCCAAATCCTTCAGGGTCCGTCTGCAATTCCTAGCTCTGTCAATGTCTATCTTATTGTCAGAAAATGAGATATTTCCAAATGAGAGAAATAAAAACAGCCTAATAAGTTGATTTGAGCAGAGAGAGGGGAATTGGAAGCCGGTGTCAGAGTTAAGCGAAAGCACAAAATTCTTTGGGAACTGTAAGAGCAGGCAGCTACCGAGGCCTCTAGGATTTCAGGTGACAGGGAGCACGGGGACGTGAAAGCTGACGAGTCATTTGTAGCTAGCAAGATCCTCAGTGGATGGACACAGACGGAACTCAGGGATTCTGGAACCTGGTCACCTCACAGCGAGGAAGGAGCCCCTGAACAGTAAATGATGAGAGGCCTTCTCCACTGACTTTCTGATGTCTTGCCCCTGTGTGACAGCAGCCCACATCAAGGGGCAGCCAGAGACTGAGGAAGGCATGCGGACTAGATCTGATTCCAATTAGCAAGCAATGTCCCAATGCTCAAAAGAAAAGATTCGCAGTTTTGCTGAAGATGCAAATAGAGAATATCAGTGTGGTAGGTTTCCTTCACTGTTACAAGCATTTGAGATAGTCAAATAATGGAAAAATGTGCCTTTCGGCTCACAATTTACAGGTTCCAGCTCATAGTCAAATATGCCCAGTGCTTTCAGGGCTGTGAGAAGCAGCAGAGTCTAGCATCAGTGCATCTTGTGCTCAGGAAGCCAAAGACTGGAAGCAGAAGGGGTTTGGGTGTCATTGTCTCCCTGGAGGGAAACTGTTAGTGTCCCAGAGATTTCATAAATGCCCCCCCCCCTTTGCAGTGGCATGATGCCAACTTCCAAGTCTTTAGAATGTTGAACTGTGAAGAACTCTTATCCAAATTATGATTCTTTTGTGCTAGAAAAATATCTTGTTCACTCCATAAAAATGTAGTTTTGTATTTTGAGTAGACATTCAGAATAAGTCTGGGTATAGTAATTTAAAATAGAAACTTGAATTTCTGAATAATAACTCATATCTACACTTAGGTATCTGTTATAAGCACTGTGAAGTGAAATATGATTAGCAGGACCCTAAATTCCTCTGTACATGATTGACTTAAAGCACTAAAATAGATTAAACAGCTTGCCCTGATCTAGGAGGGAAACAGAAACTGGCTTTCAAAAATTTGGCTTCAGTTCCTTATATATAAGACTGAGGTCTTTTGGGGTTTTTGAATGAGAAACATAGCGAAGAGAAGTATAAAAGAGAAGGGAAACACAGATGGATAGACACATGGGAATGGAGGTAGAGGAAGTGGAGTAAGGGAAGGAGTAGAATTGAGAGGATGGAGAAAATAAAAGAGGTTGTGTCCAATTATTTAACTGAAATTTCAGGAAAATTAATATCTTAAAGAATCTACTTTTGATACAGTGAACTATGACTGAAAAGCTTAGAGTGTTACATTACTAAAGCAGGATAATTGTACAATTAGTAAATATAAATGTATATGTACTCACTCAGATGTGTAACAACACTAAACGTAACCCTATACACAAAATACCAATAGAAGGAAGGAGAGGAGGATGAGGATGAGCAGGAGGAGAAAGGGTGTGGTAATGGAGAAGCTGGAATATAACCTGAACAGAAGATCCTGCTTTGTTGTTTAGGATAAATATCCCTAAGCAAATTTCAGTGCCGCTGTCTGCGGATCACCCCACTGTAAGTTTGTGCATCTCCTCTGCACGGACAGTGAGCTCCAACCTTACTTCACTATGGTGTGTGACACTTTGGGCACAGCTCAGGTGGGATCTCTTGGTTCCCGAGCAATTTTTCCAGCATCACTTGCAGCCTGAGATCTTAGCAGTATTGGAGGACGTGGGGAGGACAGCCTTGCAGCAGCCTGGTCTTTTCTCTACCTGTTACACTGACCTTTATCTACCAGGCAGTACAGTGATTTATGTGTTTTTGTGACACTTCTTGGAGAAATGTTGCTAGCAACTTCTTGCTGGTGACAATTATTTCTGTTAGATTGTGGAAAGAAATTTCAACAAATTGACTTTTATTATTTTAACAGTGCAGAAAAA